ACCTGGGTCTTCTGCAAGAGCAGTCAGTGCTCTTAACCACTAAGTCCCTGATGGCCACTTTTTTTTTTCAGTCTTTTTGAGACAGGGTCTCCCCTTATCCCCAGCTGACCTGGAACTCACTATGTAGACCAGGCTGGCCTTGAACTCACAGAGATCCACCTGCCTCTGCCTCCCCAGTGCTGGAACTAAAGGCATGCACTACCATGCCCAGCATCTTTGGCTTTTTAACTTGCAATGGAGCTGGGGTCAGCAAACACCCCTTGTCTCCCTAGCCTTCTGGGACCCTGAGTTCCTTTTGCTTTGCTAACCGTGCCTGAATGAGGGCTGGGCCTGGCAAATAAAATCAAAGAGGCTTCATTTTAAGGGTACATCCCTTTGCTACAATCCCCTGGCCAAACTCCTAGGTAGAAAGGAGTCAGGGTGCTTTTTGTTTGCTCTGCCCCCGAAACCCACTGAGATCCCATTCTGGGCCTCCAGTTCTCCACCCTGTTCTTAACATGGAGCCTGTCCAGAAGCAGAGACATAACCTTCCTTAAAAGGCAGCAATCGTTTCTCAAAAATAAAGCCTCTATATTGGTTACATAACCAGGCAGGCCCTGGCAACACTAGCATTTCAACTGTCAAAAGCCCAAGTCTAAGCCAAACAGGGTGGCACATACCCATAATCCCGGCACTCAGTAGGCTAAAGCAGGGGTACTGGAAGTTCAAGGTCAGTCTGGGCTACACAGTGAGACCTGTCTCAAAATCTAAAGTGAAAGGACAACAAAAAACCCCATACAAATCTTGCTCTGACAGGTCTACATAGGTCAGGAATGGTGGTAAAGCTAGACCCAGGGTAGCAAATTGAAAAGTAACCCCAGTGTCTTCCCAGATCTTAGCATGTGACCTTTTGGAGAACAGGGGTCTTTGTAGATATGACCAGGATAAGAACCTTAGGATGACGTCATCCTGAATTACAGTGATGTTACTTGACCTATGTTACTCTAAGGAAAGGGAAGGACATACAGTCAAAAGAGACAAGGGGTGTAGCCATTGAAGGCAGCAGCAGAGACCACAGCAGCGTAGTCACAACCCAGGACAATCAGAGCCAGCAACTAGAGGAGGCAGGCAGGGTTCTCAACTGCAGACTTCAGGGACCTGGCCCTTCTAACACCTGGGTTTTGACTTCTGGCCTTGGGAATTGGAAGAGAGTAAGTTTCTTTTGGTCCAAGTTGCCCAGTTTGTAACAATTTGTTATAGCTGTAACAGGACAGGCACACCCCAGGTTACTCTAACCACTGCAATGTGTCAAAGAGCTTGCTGAAGGCCTGGGCCAGAACTCCTGGGGCCAATAACCCTCAGGAACTTGGGTCCAGCAGCATCAGCAGTCTGACCACAAGCTTTCCAAGTGCTACTGGCAAGTGGCCTGTAGGGAAAAAGTGATCAATATGGGACACATAGGCCCCAGGACAGAGCTGACTCCCAGCCTCTCAGGCCTCTGGACGGACCTCACACAGGTGTAGATGACAATGAAGTGAACCTGGAGATAGGTGCTAGGAGAAGGTTGGAGTGGGGGGTATTAGAAAGGTTGTGAGGACCAAGTCCTCTCCCCCAGAATCTTCTGGAGCCAGGGGTTGGAACAGGAAATATCCAGATGACGTTATTTTGGAAAAACACAAGCTGTGTGTGCTGGCACACACCTTTAATCCCAGCATTCCAAAGGCAGAGGTTAAGTGGATCTCTGTGAGGTGGAGGCCAGCCTGATCTCACTATGTATAATGAGTTCCAGGCCAGTTGGGGCTACTGGGAAACCTTGTCTCAAAAAACAAAAGAAAGAATTGCATTAAAAATAAATTTTTCTGTATGAAATTGTGTATTTTAATAATGAAATGGAGATATTTTTTAAAGGTTAAAACCTCATTTAATTTTATGTCTTAAAGGGTTTATACTGAGAACAATATTGCATAACTGTATTAATTCAAATGTAAACCTAAAAATTTACAGCCAATCTTGAAACAGATGCATCTTAGCTCTGGAAATTGTTATCGAATATGTCAATGCTGTTGTCATGAAATGCTTCTTCTAATTATATGGTTATTAAATAAATAATTAAAAAAACAAAACAAAACATGGCAAAGTATCCAAAAATGAGCATGAGATGGGCAGGAAGAGGCTGGTGAGCAGGGGAGAGGACAGCCTCAGTGCAGCTGAAAGGGCCCAGCCATGGGGTAGTCTGTGCTGGCTCTCTGGCTTTCTTGGGGTGGGGTCTCAGAATGGGAAGCAGGAGTTTCCAGACATAGATGGGAACCCCCAAACCAACTTCACTAGATCAGAAGACCAAAACCAGCCTGAGGTCACTGTTCCCCAAGAAGTCCAAGAACAGCCTGGGGGTTCAGGAAAGGGCTGACCAGGGACTTCTCACACCCATGCCAGGACTCTCCCTACTGCCTGGCCCTCTGACCTGCCTTCCCAGGGCCACCTGCTCTTATTTACAAACCTTCTCAGGGCCTGTGTTTCTGGGTTATATATGTAAACAGAAGGGGCATCTCTGGCAACTACTCAAGAGAGCCACTGGCCTCATGCGGAAGATTCCCCATCCACAAAATAAGAATGAAAACTTTTCTCCACTTCCCTCCCTTCTTTCTTTCCAAGTAATATGATATGTCCTCTGTAGAAATTTTAGAAAAGACAAACAATATGAAAAAATATCAATATCAGGGACTGGAGAGATGGCTCAGTGGACAAGAGCCCTGGCTACTCTTGCCGAGGACCAGTGTTTGACTATCAGCACTCACATGACAGCTAACAACCATCTGTAACTCCAGTTCCAGGGGATCCAACGCACTCTTCTGGCTTCCATGAGTTTTGCACACATGTGGTACATTAACATACATGAAGACAGAACACTCATACACATAAAATAAATACATTTTAAAAATTTAATCTCTTACAATCCCATTAATGTTGGCAAGCATTTTCTTGGCCATGTTGCCACAGTATACTACATACATAGTACATTTTTACAAATATGGCCTGACGTTATCCACATAGTACTTTCCTTTCATCAGGAATAGTTTTACAAAGTACCTACAGGGCACCCTCTCATACCAGTCAATATGGCTGAATAGCAGCAGATTTGAAAAGTCAAGTTTATTGAAGTATAGTTTGTCAGGCTATAAAATTCCTACTTTCTAGTGCATGATTATGAGTTGATAAACTCATTCTTGGAACCTGGACCACAATCAAGGAGCATTCCATCACTCCCAAATTGCCCCATGACCCTTGGCAGCCAGCCTCTGCTCTCACCTCCAGCCCTAGCTAATCTTTGGCCTGTTTTCTGTTTTGTGGTTTTACCTTTTCTACATTGTCTAACTAATGGGATCAGAACCTACTATGCATGGTTCTTTCCACTTAGCATAAGGCTCTCTAGACTCATCATCCATCCCTTTCACCTTAAGGCTATCTAGCCTTTCTTGTTATGGATACACACACAGGGTGACTGCCTCACTACTGTCCCTATGGCAGACCCTCCCTCCTTCTCCTCACCACCTTCCTACAGTGACCACCACAGACCTGTGTGAGTAAATCTCAGAAAGTCAACAGAAGAACCCTAAAGAAAATATCTGTATGTCAATCTGAAGACGTCATTTGGTGGTTTTTGCCGCAGTCCAAGGACCACCCTCCAGAAAAGGCATCTCCATCCAAGCACATTCTCACATACTAGGATCCTGATCTGCCTCTTATTGCCTGTCATGCTGAAAAAGCCACCTCCAGCCCCAGGATTGTCTCCAACAGGTCCCTCAGTCCTGTTAACACCCTCCCTTTTCCATCTGTCCTAGGAGGGTTGCAGACCCACTCTTTATTCTGCTTTGGGGCTCTCACAGGCACACAAATACATACAATGCATTCAGTACTCACAACCCACAACTAGCCCAGGCTGGTCTCAAACTGAACATCTTCCTTAACTTTGAGTGCCAATAGTCCTGTACTATCATGTCCATGTACTATCACAGTACATGTATGCCACCACGCTAGGCCACATTTTAAAACTGCATGTAGTTCGTTTGCCCCCCACAACACACACACACATGGCGGCTAACAACCATCTGTAACTCCAGTTCCAGGAAACTGGAGCCTTCTTCTGACATCCACAGGCACTGCACGCACGTGGTGCACTTACATCCTGTACTATCATGTCCATGTACTATCACAGTACATGTATGCCACCACGCTAGGCCACATTTTAAAACTGCATGTAGTTCGTTTGCCCCCCACAACACACACACACATGGCGGCTAACAACCATCTGTAACTCCAGTTCCAGGAAACTGGAGCCTTCTTCTGACATCCACAGGCACTGCACGCACGTGGTGCACTTACATACATGCAAGCAAAATACTCAAACACATAAAATAAATAATTTTTTAAATAAATTAGGGGGCTGGAGAGATGGCTGAGTGGTTAAAAGCACTGCCTGCTCTTGTTGAGGACCCAGGTTAGGTTCCCAGCACCCCCATGGCAGCTAGCAACCATCCATAACTCCATTCCAGGGGAATTC